GGGGAGCTGGAGCTGCCAACAGCGGACTACCCCGACGCACCGGTGGGACCAGAGGGATTCGGACGAGCAATCGGGTAGGAAGTAGCCCAGGGACAGAGCTGCACAGTGGTGAGTCTGTATTGCGGAAGGACCCCGCTGATCCAGTGGCGGGACCCTCGTCCTGCCACTGTCAGGGCCCTGGGCTGGAACGCAGTGGTGTAGGGTGGGCCTGCGTTCCCCTACCCGGCCGAGCCATGCCGAGACCTTCGCCGGCGCTCCCCTGCCTGAGGGGCGCGCTACTGACTTTTGCCGGCGCTCCCCTGCCTGAGGGGCACGCTACTGACCTTTGCCGGCGCTCCCCTGCCTGAGGGGCGTGCTACTGACCTTTGCCGGCGCCCCCTGCCTGAGGGGCGCGCTACTGACCTTTGCCGGCGCTCCCCTGCCTGAGGGGCACGCTACTGACTCTGGCTGGCGGCCGCCCCGCCGCTAATTCCCCGCTGATGGAGGCGTGACCCAGGCCGGCCAGTGACCTCGTAGCTCCCCACCGCCCCCTAGCGGGTAGGTGGGCCAACGCCGATCACAAAGTTAAAGAATATTTATATAAGTTGGATGTAGTCAAGTCAGCAGGGCCTGCTGAAATTCATTCTAGGGTACTTAATGAATTAGCAAAAGCAATCTTGGAACAGTTAGCAATTATCTCTGAGAACTCCTGGAAGATGGGTGAGGTCCAAAAGACTGAAGACGGGCAAACCTGGTACCTATTTTTAGAAAGGGGAAAAATGAGAACCCAGGTAATTACAGACCTGTCAACTAACTTTGATACCTGGAAAGATACTAGAACAAATTATTAAACAATCAGTTTGCAAACATCTGGAAGACAATAGGGTTATGAGGAATAGCCAGCATGGATTTGCCAAGAACAAATCATGCCAAACCAATCAATTTTCTTTCTTTTACAGGGTTACTGGCCTAAAGAATGATATGGGGAAGCTGTGGACATATGTCTTTATTTTATGATTTGATATATCTTGACACAGTCCCATATGACATTCTCATAAGCAAACTAAGGAAATGTGGTCTAGATACAATTACTCAAAAGTGAGTACATAACTGGTTGAAAGCCCGTATTCAAAGAGTAGTTATTCATGGTTTGCTGTCAGACTGGGAGGGCATATCTTGTAGGGTCCCACAGAGGTCAATCCTGGGTATGAAATACTATTCAATATTTTCATTAATGACTTGTATAATGGAGTAGAGAGTATGCCTATAAAATTTGCAGATGACACCAAGCTGGGAAGGGTTACAAGCACTTTGGAGGACAGGATTAGAATTCAAAATGACCTTGACAAATTGGAGATTGATCCGAATTCATCAAGATGAAATTCAATAAAGACCAGTGCAATATACTGGGATGCTCTAGGTTTACTGGGTTCTGCCACAACACAGAAGGCTGGACTTGATGACTTCTTGAGATCCCTTCCAGCCCTACATTTCTATGATTCTATTTTCCAGTTGTCATTTCAGCCCAAAATGCCTATAGGAATAGCAACAAAGCAACTGCACAGCTGCTCCTCAACATGCTACCAGATTTTTGCAAGGGAATTTTGTAAGTGGAAGCATGTTTAGGGAATAATCTTGTGGCAAGTCAAGAGAAAAGGAGACCTAGGAGACTAAGGCCATCAAACATCTCTGGCTGAACTGGTAATTATAGACAGACAGAAAGGATATTTGAATTCTTTCCAAAAGCAAAAAGATTTCCCCCTCACACTACAGTTGAGGAACGTGATGCTTAGACACAGGTTGTCTTAAATGTCAGTTGATTGCCTGAACACTACCCATAGAACATTATATAAAAGTTATCTTTGGCCTTTGCTCAGTGCTGGACCACTTGATTCGCCAATAGGTAGCACAGCTGGATAATACAGGTGTGAGACACAGGATAACTGCATTCCCTTGTTACGCCAGATGCTCTGACACTGGTTGTTTTTCATGTGCTGGCTAATACTAACCCCAAAGATGATTTTACACGTGATGATCTGGTTATAGCAAAATACAAGTAACTGGTCTTTACTGTAGCATGGACAATGAAATGTAAAATCAGGGATGCCAAGAAGTATCCAATCCTTCTTCCACCACAAACAAATAATGTTTCCCTAAGGTAATTTTCAGCATATGTTGGGAAGCATGGGTAGTTAGATATAGAAATTTCAGTTGTTCCATAAATCAGGTAATTCCACTAATACAAATTATCTGGAGGGGTGAGGTTTCTTCTAAGGTCCAAAAGAATCGTTTCTTCCTTTTCTGAGTGAGTGGTTTCAGCTGCATGAGGAGGTAGAGCAGTAGATGTGTTCCTCACTGAAATTAGAGTACTTGTATCATCTTCTTCTTCCTCAAAATTTCAGCTCCTCCATTGTGGGGGAGGGGAGAGGAGGAAGTGGCAGCTCTAATTTGTCAAGAGATGATTGTGCAGGTAGAGCAGGAGCCAGGTTATAAACACAGAAATGCCAAGTGCAACAAGATGGCAGCGAGGGGCCATCTGCTTGGGCAGAGTCTGGGCTTCGTCCCTCTCCCTCCTCCTTCCCTTCAACATGCTGGACACTCTTCTGAACAAGGAATTTGAAGAGAGGTGTCAAATTGTGTCACTTCCTCCTAAAAGCCAGTCATATAAGGACGGTATTCTGAGTACAGTATAAATACTTCCCTTGAGGCAGTTAGGTGGGGAAATAGGCAGAGTCTTGGCATTGCCCCTTCTCCTCAATGTGCTGGCAAGCATACCTGAGCCTGGATATGTTAGTAAGAGGGGGCTGGTCACAATTTGCTGCTGGTATTGGTTAATTTCTCCACCATGGAGCAAACAGAGAGTGGAGGGAACTGTGCCTTTCAGGGACACATTTCCTTCCTTTTGCTGCCCCTTTCACAGGACTTGTTGTGAAAATTGAAATGGCCCTTTTAAAAAATTGCTTTCTCCATCCTTGCTGTGTAATTCTTCCACAGACTTGAAGTGAATGTCTTCTGTAGAGCTGCAGGGATAGTGAGACCTGAGTGTGAAGGGAATTCTTAGCACCAGAAGGGTGGCCTAATTTTCACTAGTCCATTGCTTGTTACTCAGCTGAGGTAGAGCTGCAATCCATCAATCAGCACTGATGGATCTGAGAGTGTAGGAATTAAAGAAACCATTACACAATAAACTGTTGTCCTAGCAGACTGTTCCTTCTTTACACAGCTCCTTAAAACCAACAGTCTTAGCAGGATACTTTTTTGAGCTCAATTTATGGTAAGTGCCTACAGAAAGTCAACTAGAAAAGGGGACTTTTAAGTATCACTGGAGTTTAGTTTTTTGCCTTGCTCTGTGAAAAGCTTCAGTAGGAATTGTACAGCAGGTGCAGTAATAAAGAATATTTTTGTTTTTAAAATAGTGTCTTTTCATATTTGATGGTACTTTAGGGTATGGACAAAAATATTTTTTCAAGTTTTCCAAACACTATGGCCAATTTTTTAGTTAGGTTCTTATTTAAATGCGTAAATATAGAACTAAATTTTCTGATTTTCAAACTGCTGAGCATTCACAGCTCCTATCTATGTCAATGAGAGCTTCAGGTGCTCAGCACCTCTGAAAATCAGGCCACTTATTTAGATGCTTAGATATGGGTTTAGGTACCTAACTTTAAGCACTCAGTTTTGATAATTTTGGCCTAAATTGCTACATCTCTCTGTATTATTGCACCCTTGGTTAAAAAGCAGTATGTTTAAGTTGCCTTAGTTCTTCATCAACCCCAACTGCTTAGCCAGTGCAGCTAAAAAGCCAGCCACCACAGCCATACAAGCTTGCCTGCATGCTGCCCACTGCACACTGAAAAACAAATGCTTCTATCAAGTAGGCCTGTTATAAAGCCAGTCTGTTATTTACATATTGCAGTTTCAAGACTGTGGTAAGCTTCCCCAGCACTCACCACTTTGTATTGTGAAATTACTTTCTGAAATATTTTGCTTTTCAGCTAGAACAAAAACATGATTTGTTCTCGTTCATAGCCCCCGGGGGGGTGGGGGGGGGGAGGAGGAGGGAGGGAAGGGAGACAACCCAACAACAACTCAGCAAAAAGAAGGGGGGGAGGGGGGAATAAAAGATTTACAAGTTGCTTTGCTTTTTGTAAACAAAAAAAAATTAAAAAACTCTAAAACCTCCTTGCATTTCTAAGTAATGTCAGGCAACTTTAAAAACGTAACACAAGATGTCCCTTGGAAAATGTGCAAAGACCCTTATTAATCATTTCCAAGAGGTTCCTTTTAGTTTTAGGTAGACCTTTCATGGAAAAATGGGGACATGTACAATTCCATCAAGTTAGATTAAACAAACATATTAATATTCCCCCAACATGATGCTGATTGAGAATCTCCAAAGATTAACTAAGATAAATGTAAATATTTTACTTTGAAAGGAATATATCTTCGGGGAATCATGTACAGTAGTTAATTTAAAGTTATATTAGACTGTACTGTGGAAATTTCAGCCTGCAGTTTCTAAAGCAATCTTAATAACTATATTGTCTGGCTCTTAGAGTAAATAATCTATTTTTAAGTATTCTTGAAAGCATTTCAAAAGCACAGATTAAAAGCATTTTGGAACAGAAAAGAAGCATCACAATCCCAATTATCGCTGTGGAAATGTTCTTTGTGTGCAAGTGTACAAAAAAAATAAAAATAAAAACAAAAACCCCTCCTTTTATTTAAATACACTAACAATCTAGCACTAAACTGTTAAAAAACTAATGGGTTAAAAACAATCATGTTTATGTGCTGAGTGGTTACAAAGAGTAGCTCACTTTGTATCTGGAGAGTGTTAAAATTTTTAATATGGATGCTAGTGCAGAAATCAGAGATTAAACACAAAGAAATGTAAACAGCTACCACATGCAAGAAAACTAGGTTACAAGAATCACAGCACCAGGCATTCACCAATCACCATGGAAAACAGGAAATGAAATGCATAGCAACCACAAGCCCAAAAGCAGAAAAGCGCATACCTTCAGCTTGGAATGAAAATCACGAGATTTCCTTCTGGCAAGAACCTGAATGTGACTAGACACCTGCAGGGTAGGGGAAGGGAGGAAAACAAAGGAAAAGCCTGTAACCATGGAGATGAAAAGCCCCCTACAACTGGGCAAGCCAAACGTACCTTAATGGCGGCTTGAATTTCTCGAACTTTCTTTCTTGCTAAGACCTGTATGTGACTAGACACCTACATTGTTCAGATTTATAAAAAAAAAAGAGAGAAGAAAAGAAAAAAGAAAAGAAAAAGAAAAACAAAAAGGAAATCAAATTTAAAATATCTTTTTAAATTACTTTTTTTTGTGGGGGGAAGTTATTTGCATCTTCAGTAAGCTCTGCTGTTAAAGATACCACATTCCCAGCCAGATGCCTAGCTCTTAGCACCAAGGCTTAATAACACAGGCCATCACTGCAGTGACGTGACTAAGGAGAAAAAGTTTAATCTATCAAGTTATATAGTCTTTTACAGGAGAGAACCAATGACACTGTTCAGAATTAGGTGTGGACCACTTGCTCTTTTGTTACAAATCCTACGACCCCTATAGACAGCCAAAGAGTCTTTACTCATGCAAAGAATCAAATGGACTTCTTGCATGAATAAGGACTATCCATATTCGTAGGGTTTGCAGAATCAGGCCATTGTAGCATTCAGCATTGAACAAGAGACTTTATTTGACACAGCATCAAGAAATATTAACAATAATTTATCGTGTTCTATGACTTCAAGTGATTACACCAAGGCTGTGTTTTGAGCTACATTTGTTAACAACTGATAAAATATTGATACACTATAGGTATTAAAGAAACATGAAATAATGCTGCATTTCTTTCTAATATGAATATCGGTCATGCTTCTACCACGTTGATAATAACTGCAGGCAACTCCTTTGAAGTCAATTTATACCAGGTCTGAATGTGGCCCACTGTCTTTACATGCACTACGTCAGTGAAAAATATGTGCAAGCATGAGACCCAGTCCCACACTGGATCAATTGTACTGGAAGTTTTGCCTGACTGATGAGGGAGGGATTGGGGGCCATGTTTTGCAGTCATATTTTCTCAAGTATGTGTTAAAATCTGTTGTGATAATGGGTTAAATCATAAGAACGGCCGGGCTGAGTCAGGCTAATGATCCATCCCGCTCGGTATCCTGTCTTCCAACAGTGGCCAGTGCCAGATGCTTCAGTGGGAACGAACAGCACAGGGCAATTACCGAGTGATCCATCCCCTGTAATCCAGTCCCAGTTTCTGGCAGTCAGAAGTGTAGGGACACCGGAGGATGGGGCTGACTATCTTGGCTAATAGCCATTGCTGCACCTATCCTCCATGAACTTATCTAGTTATTTTTTTAACCCTGTTATACTTTTAAATCCTGCCTCGCTGCTGAGCAACCAATCTAAACAGAAGCTGAGGGCATTTAGAACCTCCAGGAGTTGCTCAGCCCCCTGCAGGGCCCAATATGATTTTCTCTAAACTGCAACCATAACAAAAATTGCTAGAGAAACTTCTCTACCACCATATTGTTTATATTACAGTGGCACCTAGAGACCTGAACTAAGATCAGGGCCCCAATGTGCTGGATGCTGTACATACACATAGTAAGAGACAGCTCCTACCCTTGAACAGGTTTGACGCTAAACAGACCTGATAGATAAAAGGAGGGGGAAAGGAAATATTACTATCATCACTTAGAAAAATCCTTTTGTTGTGGTACCTTAAAGCAACTCATGTTTGTTAGGGAAAAAAAACGTATTGTAATATGTAAACAAATTCTGATCCCTGAGGGCCAACTTTACGAGGCTTCTTAATGAAGCAACCCAGGAATGAGAGTCTGTAGTTATTCAGACTAGTAAGCAAGTTGATAATTCAACAGACATACATAATTGTCACAATGGTAATTTTTGTTTTCAGTTTCGCAGGATAATGGTGTTGAAGGTTATATGGTACGCACAATTCTGCAATTTCTAGTTTTAATTTTAATTTGTTGAGAGATTCTCAAAAGTAGTGAGACTCAAACTGTGTCAAAATACTCATGATGTATTCATGATGTATTTTATTTATATACAGGGGACGGGGGGGTCAGAACTTCTGGTGTGTAAATCAACATATCTCTATTGATTTAAATGGAGCTAGGCTAATTTACCCTGGCTGAGATTTGGTCATGTGCTTGAAGCCAATGAGTTGTAATGTGCTCTTAGCCGCACCTGTGCAACCCCAAGTTCATGGGGGTTGCCCAGGTATAACAGAAGAGAACTTGGAGCTTTAGTCCTTTGCTATGGATTTCTTTGTTAATGTGTTATTTGTTCCGTCTCTATGAATTGCAGTTTCTCTCCTTCCTCATGGCTTTTTTTCATCCCTTGTACTTTATATTGCTTCCTAATTGACAAAGAACATCACCCGGGGGAAAATGTCACCCAATTCAACATGCTTTAAATACGAGCATTGGCAGCAGGCCATCTTCATTTGTGCTGACTCAGCATTATTTTTCACCACAGTACAAAACAAGCATTGCATGCCTGAATAAAAGCCTCTCCCCCGTCTCCCCATTCCCCCATAACACACACTGATAAGGAGACCTGGAAGCTTGTGCTCAAAGTTAAAGAAGGAAAGGGACAGTGTAATTTGCAAACTTTTCACACTAGTGAACCAGTTTAGTAACTTCAACACAAGCTACACAAAGGTTATGTGTGCATTTGTGAGATGGCTAATCACTGTGAATATAACAATTAAAGGATCTAGTCATATGTGATAACTTAATTGATATGTGATAATCTTCTGAAAAAGATTAAAGGCTGGTAGAGGTTTATGCTGACTTACTTATGAACAAAATCTTTTTGTGGTTACAGAACAACAGCACCCATAGCTCTTATGGGAACAACTCTATTTCACCCTATAGCAACCACTGACCATGAATAGGGAGCATGAGTAGAACGAGTCCTCTGAATACTCATTATTTATTATTTTTCATATCCACAGCTAGTAACTTTCTTGTTTAGGTGAAGTGGCCAGACATTTAATTGTTCCATTATTCACCATATGAAAACAATTGTTAAATTCTATATTTTCTTTATATGCAAATGATGCATTAATTAATAATAATGATGACGCAATAATTAATATGTCTTATGTTAGTTTGACTTATGAAATGCTCTTTTCACTATGAGATAATAGCTACATATGTAGAGAGATTAATATGGAATGTGCCCAATAAATGGTCACTGAAATGATGAACAGATCAAACAATGGATTTTTAAAAAGCACATACTTAATCATAACAGTGAAATCAATGCATTATCTCAACAGAGCTGAATCACTGACAGTCACTGCAGCCAAAAATGCCACGTTTTGTTATTCGCTGACATGCACACTTTCCAATTGGGTTGTTTTACCTGTTTCCTGGTCCGTGTCTTCCCTGTTCTAAGTTTGATGTATCTGGCTATCAATTCATTCCTACCTGAAATGAAGAAGAATTTACAATGAGGGCCAAACAGCCACAATTCTGTAAATGGTGCTATCAAATTGCATGATTTAAAAATATAAGATCTACAAATGTGAGGATAGTCTGATTTTTATATAATCTGATTTTCATTTATAGAAGTGGTATTCATCAATATTTTTATCAATGAAAGAAGCTATGATCCTGATTCAGCAAGGTACTTAGGCATATACTTAACTTTAAGCAAACAAGTTCTTGCATTGACCTGCTTAAATAAATTGCTTAATTGAGGACTGTAAGCACACTTACTTATTATTTTAAAACTCTAGTTCGGTTTGAAACATACTCTTTGAACACAGGATTTCAAAGTCTAAAGTTGGTCTGCTTTCTCAGCCAGAGAGCATGGTGTTTAATGCAACTAAAATTTTCTTTAAAAATCTCCCTCCTAAACATAACTGGCATCAAGGTTCATGAAGTTTCTATGATGTCCTATTCATTTTCACTTTATATTATATAATCTCTACATGATCTGTATTATTCTCACCATGTTGAACAAATGTTATGTTAATTTAGAGTCGTGTTTGTGTTAAACACAAGGTAAAGTAAGCAAGGTACCAGTGAGAATGAGAGGACTTAAGAGGTTATTTTAATTGCAGGTTGAAGACTAAGATATTAGAGACCTTAAATCTCACCACCCACTGTGTTACACTGAAGTTAACTAGCAGGGTATCTGACTAGAAGGTGCAGTTAGGTGTTATATCCATATCTGACAGGTATCCAAATTTGTATTGGCTTGCTGTTGTGGGGACATTTTTAAATAAGGAACCTACATTGGAAGGGGCACCTGTTAAATAGAGCATTTAACCAGGGCCACATACAAGTTTTTTGGGCCAGGGCAAAATCTAAAACTAAATCACCCAATCCAAACAATTATCAGTGCAAAAACACTGAGGGAAAGCTGGGGCAGAGGGGGCATGTTGGAAAGAGAGCCTGCCCCACACTCAGCTACTGGCCTGTGGGGCTGGGCCTGGCTCCACATGGGTGTTGCAATCTGGTACATGGGATCACAGCGTCACTCATGATGGGGGGTGGGCAGCCAGGCCAAACTTGAGTGAGTGATGTTGTGACTTGGTGCACGGGGTTCCCGTTGAGCCAAATTCAAATGGTGCTGTGACCCGGTGCCCTAGGTCACAAGCCCACTTACTCAAATTCCATGGGCTTGGGGGCCCTCTCAAAACAGTGAGTCCAGGGGAAACTGCTCCTTTTGCCTACCCTCTCTGGGAGGTCCTACACAAAATACAATTATTTTAACTAGGCTTCCTCCCTACCCCCGCCACCTTCCACTCTAAATCTAATTTTACATCTTTTCTGGAAAGTGTCACCTCCAGCAGTGGAACACTCCCGTCCCTTTTGTAGTTTATTCATATTCTGTGTGCATAGATAGATGAATGTGAAAAGTGGATCTGCACTCCCTTTGCTCCTCCTTCAGTTTGGGCCTGGACCACATGTCCGAGCTATCTGGAATAAGTAATTACGGTGGTGATGCAAAGTTAGTGAGTACATTACAGGGCATTTAAGGCCAAACTTCACAAACCAAATTTTGCATTTGCAAACAGTTACACATTAGCCTAAATCTGCATACACAAAATCAGCAAACTGAGCTGTTAGCTGTCTAATTAGATGCAAAACCTCATCATTAGGCAGGTTGAAAACAGATCCCTGACAGCAATTCTGCAATGCACTATGTCAGAATGGTACATCCTATTTTCAGGGAACAATAGCCCTGTCCTTATGTTCACAGGATGGAAAAAGTGTGTGTCTTGACTATGTGGTTCTTATATTATCCTGAGTAATTCTCAAGTATTCTTTGGTGTTAGCCAAAATATAAATTAAAAATTAATTAAATATTATTAAATTAAAAAATCTGGAAGGAGATTTTAAATGTTACACCATCAAAATCAAGAGTAGCAGCACTTACACGATACAACAAAATGGACAGTCCTTGTCAATCTAGCAGTCTTCACACATCTTATTTTACTGAGCAAGTTAGCAAAAGAGTAAAAGTCCTGCTAATAGTTGTGTCATTCAGAGCCCAAAACATCTTCTCTATGTCGCGCTCCCTATGTAGGAGATATGGACAGCTTTTTTTTTTAACAGCTACATTATTTTTATTTGAACATTATATAATAATATCCAGAGCCTGGAGCTGACTGCAGCGTGCTTTCTGCAGCCCAGAGCCCCACCTTCCAACATGGAGGATGATATTTGGTTTCTGTAGCAGCATCCCATGGCCTTAGACAACAACACCAGTTACTCCAAAAAACAGAGTTAATTGCACAACTGTTCCATGATTGTGAGCCAGGGAAGGAAAATGGGCCACTATGGTCTAGTTTTGCTCTGAAGCCACAATTCATGGAGAAAACAGCACTAACGTGGTAAAACAGGGAAAAGATCATCCAGAAGTAAAAGGTGGGTGAGTGGTCAAGAGACTGAGGCCTGAGCAATGGGAAAGAGCATGGAAAACACAAATAAAGCAATGGTTCCAATATACTGCAGATGCACCAGGTCAGCAGCTTCAAGCAACCTTCCCACAATGGTTTTGTACCCTTACACATCCGCATTGTCGCTTTAAAATGTATTAGGGTAATACAGTGAGTGAAAAACTGCTAAGAAATGAAAAGAGAACAAGGAGGGTGAAGGATTGATTATCACTGCCTTTAATTAGCGAACATGAACAGTGCAAAGGATCTGGAACCTGGCAAACGTCAGGGAGCAGTGTATGGTTTATCTGTTTGGCAGATAACAGAGCTGATGTGTTCCTCAGTGTGGCAAGCTGTGAGGAAATTTTACTTGATTTAAGTGCACCTTTTGCTTAAACTAGGAGAGGTGCCCTGCTGTGGAAGCAATGGGAGCCACTTATACATCTTTCAATAAACACATGAATAAAATACTCAGGCCCAGTTCTTCAATGCAACAAGGTATAAAAAGTTGCCCTAGAGGGGCAGCTGGTGATTCCCATCATGTAAGAAAATCCTTAGTGTAAAGGCAGCATCACCAGCTCTACAGCCCCACATTTTGCATTCATGACAGGCTTGGTGTGGGGGTAGAGTGCACTCATCAATCCTTAGCCAATGAAGTAGTCCTCATGAGATCATGGCAGCTGGCCTAAGGGCTTGTCTTCACTACCCGCCTGGATTGGCGGGTAGAAATCGATCTCTTGGGGATCGAATTAGTGCGTCTCGTCAGGACGCGACAATCAATCCCCGAATCAACACGCGTACTCCATCAGCCCAGGTAGGAGAAGTGCCGTCGACGGGGGAGCTGCGGCGGTCCATTTGCCGCCGTCCTCACAGCGGGCTAAGTCAGATCAGATACATCAAATTCAGCTACGCTATTCGCGTCGCTGAATTTGCATATCTTAAATCGATCCCCCCCCCCCCCACGTGTAGACCTAGCCTAAGTCACACTTGAGGAAAGAGCTGTTAAACAACTTCAGAATATATATTTGTACCACTGTGTGTAAATATATTTAAAACGTGGCCCTTTTCTGATACTCTGGAAGATTATTTATCTAGAGTAAGTTTTTATACTACTAAGATTAGGCATTGCCTTGAAAATGGACTTTAGAATGAAAATGGTGCTGGTATCTAGGGGTTGAAAATTTTACCCAACACATACCAGCTCAAGAACTAAATCTATTCATCTGGCCTAAATTCACCAGCATCTCAAGTCATTCCCCCATTCTAAACTATCACCACATGCAACATTTTTGTCCTTGGTCAGAGTCAGGGTAAAAGGGAACAGAAAGATGGCTTAGATTAGAGCCACTGAGCATGAACTGAGCGGAGCTGATTGAGCCCAAGCTGCCACCTGCCCTGAGGAAAATTTCACTAATCAATAAGCATGAACAATAACACTTCTTAATACACACAAATTATACATTCATTGCGGTATCTAGAATCACAACCCCTCAATATTATCCAAATTGTTGAAGCTGAGATGCAGTAATTCACCTGAAAGAAATTTTAGCCATTTCTATTATTTCATTTAAAACACTGTTATGAGCTGTACATAATTCTCCTCTGTTCTAATACTGCTACACCCAAGTATTAAAAAATAAGATTTATTTTTAAAAATTGTCATGATTTTTAAGTCAAAGTTGGTTTGAGCGTTTAGTGGTCATGTTTTCAAGCTTTTTTCCTCAACCATGAGGGCTAGAAACTTTTCTTTGTAAATGGAATTTGTGATGGTCATATAATCACCTGACAGGAGCTGAAGCTTTTAAAAAACCCACCAAATATTGCAAGGCTAATACTCAAACATTGCCCCTAATCTGACTCCCATCTGCACACAAATAGCTTGAGTTAAGTGGTGCTTAAAACTCAAGCGAGCTGGCCCCAGGATGAGCTGGCCCCATCCTGGGGCATGAGTGACTCGAGTGCTGCTTCGCAGTTTGGTTGTTCTCTCTCATGTTAGGATAGCTTGATTCTTGAATGAGTGCCAGTACTTGAATGTAGTAATTTGAGCTAACAGATGTAGTGAGACAAGCCCTAAAGGACAGAGCATACAAGATAACCAAGACCTTACAAATCTTCTAATGGCCATAGTTTTCCTTCAGGGGAGAAATGAGCCCCAAGTCTAATCAGGGAAGAAGGTACTTCTGCCTTAGAAGTCTCAATAACATCCCAATATCAGTCTAGCCAGTGTTATCTGAGAAGCCTTAACTAACTAAGCCTTTCTTAGACTCCACCTGTAAAATAAACATTGCCTAACACATGAAAGGAACTAAAACTCTCCAAATAAAAGTTTAGGGCCTTTGTGTTATCTGCCAAGCAACACATTCTCTCTTTTTTTCCAAAATCAGACTGGGTCAGAAACTGACCAAACAAAGAAAGCTCCTCTCTTGACTGACATGGAAATGGAGGGAATTTTAAGGAAGCAAAGGCAGGACATTTTAGGATATTCCTAAAACTCACCCTGTCTTTGTGAAGTAGCAAGAGGCTGAACAAAATGGGACT